GGGGGGGCCCGGGGGGGCGGGCAGAGCTTTGGGGAACGGCCCCGCCGCTATAAAGGGGGGGCGGCGCGATGGAGCCACTGCCGCGACCGACGGGACCCGCGGGGCGACCAGGTGAGCGCGACCCCCCCCAAAAACCCCCTCGGCACCGGGACCCCCCAAGCCCCCCGGAGGGACCCCCCAACCCCCCCGGAGGGACACCCCGACCCCCCAGGGGACATCCTCGACTCCCCTCGACGGGACCCCCACCCTGGGACATCCCCCCCGCGCCGGGGGTCGCAGGGGTGCAGCCCCGGGGGTGACCCCGGTGTCCCCCCCTTCCCCGGGCCCGGCTGGGCACCGAAGTCCCCGGGGGGGGGGTCTGGGCACCCCCTTATCCCTGTCACTGTCCCCCCCCCGGCCCCTGCTGTCCCCGAGGTGGTGGCAGTGCCACCAGCCGTGTCCCCCAGCCCCGCGGGGACACCGGGGGTGATCCAAGGGGGCCCTCCCCGCCCAGGTGGGTGGGTGGTGGCACTTGGGGGGGTCTGGCGGGGGTCCCCGTGTCCCTCCATCACCGGCTCGTTCCAGGCTCAGCGAGTGCGTGCGAGGCTCCGGTGAGTGGCACTGTCCCCGTGTCCCCTCGGTTTCCCCCCTGTCCTCCTGTCACCTCCACACCCCCATGTGTCCCCCCTCGTTCCCGTGTCCCCCCCCGTGTCCCCGTGTCCCCGGTGTCCCCGTGCCCTCCGCACCCCCACGTCCCCCGTGTCCCCTCCACCTGCATGTCCCCATGTCACCCATGTCCCCACGTCCCCTCATCCTCAAGCAGCGGGTGACAAGGTCATCCCGGGGTCCACCCAGGGCAGGGGGTTCCCAGGGAGGTGACACAACCCTGGGGACCCCAAAGCCCACCCCGACTCTCCCCTCAGTGCTCCGAGCAGCGCCCCCCGCCCGCCTTGTCACTGTCACTGTCACTGCCACTGTCACTGCCACTGTCACTGCCACTGCCACTGTCACTGCGGTCACGGCCGGGCCGTGGTGGCCCTGGCGACAGGAGCCAAAAAACTCCGGGAAGGCGTCAGGGACACGGCCCGAGCGGCACGTGCGGCGGGGTCACGGTGGCCACACGGCGACCAGTCCGGGTGCCACCAACGCCACTTCCCGCATGTCCCTGCTCGTGTCCCTTGTCCCGTCCCTGGTGACATCACCCGTCCCGGGATGGGGTGACCGCCGTGTCCCCCCCGTGCAGGGCCGGGCGGGATGCGGTGTCCCCGCGTGTCGCCGTGGGCGCTGCTGTGGCTGCTGGTGGCCGTGGCCGTGGCCGGGGCTCGCCCCGTGCGGCTCGAGCGGGTCCGGGCGGACGCGCGGGCCCTGACCCGGACCCTGAGCGCGCGCCTGCAGCAGCTCCAGGTGACCCCGGCCCGGGGGGACCCTGTGGACACCACGGGGGGCAGGGGGGCTGTGACACCGCGGGAACACCGGGGGGGGACACCCAGTGAGAGCAGAACGTGCCCCAGATTTGGGGGCTGGTTCTCAGTGTGGGGGGGGTCCCAAGGGGGGGTCTCCCATGGGGGGAGATCCCGGGCCCAGATTTGGGGGGTCCCAGGAAGGAGAGACTGGGGCCTGATGGGTGGGGGGCTCTGACCCCAAATCGGGCAGAGAGGAGAGGAGGGGGTCTGTACCCCCCCAGGAATGGGGTCTGGGGGATATTTGGGGGTCTGTACCCCCCCAGGAATGGGGTCTGGGGAGTATTCGGGGGTCTGTACCCCACGGGTTGGGGTCCCCACGGAGGGTGCCCCAGTCTGGCTGGGTGTCCCCCGCCGCCCTGACCCCCACGTTTGTGTCGCCCCCAGCTGTTCCCGCTGACCCTGCGCGTCACCGGCCTGGAGGGGGTCCCGGAGGGGGGGGTCCCGGACGGGGGGGTCCCTCCGGGGCTGGGCTGGGCCGCCCAGCGCCTCCAGCTCTTCCAGCGCCTCCTGGGGGCCCTGGCCGGGGGCGACCTGCGCCTGGCCCAGGTGGCCAACGACCTGGAGAACCTGCGCAGCCTCCTGGCCGTGCTGGGGGCCCTGCTGGGCTGTCCCCCCCCCCGCGAGCCCCCCCCGGCGCCCCCCGCCCCGCTGGCCGAGGCTCCGCACACGGTGGCCGTGGTGGCCCTGGCGCGGCTCCGGGGCTGCCTGGAGGGGGTGGCCGCTCGCCTCGAGGGAGTCCCCGCGTGTTAGGGACCCTCGGGACCCCGGGGAACACACGGACCCCCCCCAGGACCCCCTCAGGACCTCACCGGGACCCCCGGAGCTCACCGGGATCTCCTCAGGAACCCACAGACAGGACCAGGACCTCGCCGGGGACACCAGAGTGTCCCGAGACACTGGAGTGACCCCAGCTGGGGACACCACGAGTGTCCCCAGGCACCAGAGCCACCCCAGCTGCTGCCAGCACTTTTTTCTACGTTACTATTACTATTATTACTATTATTATTACATTATTATTACTGTTATTATTAATTTATTTAATTTAAAGCCCCTTTTCCAGCAGCCTCACTTGTGTCTGTGATGACCTCGGGGACAAGGGACAACCCGGGACAAGGGACCTCTGGGGAAAAGGGACTCCCTGGAGACATGGGGGCACCTGGGGACAAGGGGACACTCGAGGCCAAAGGACCCCCAGGACACGGGGACGCCTGGGGACAAGGGCCTGTGGGGCCCCCCAGGCCAGGGGGTGACACCAGGACACGGCCCCGGTGACTCAGTGGCAGTTGGTGACTCGCTGGTGGCTTTGCCTCCCCCCTGGCCTGGCGTGACCCTGGCACGTCCAGGGTGGGGACACGGGGGGGACACGGGGGGTGGTCTGGACCCCCTCAGGAAAAGGGATGGGAAGACAAGGAGAGGGGAACGAGGGGGACAAAGGGGACAGGGCTGGAGGGACAAAGATGGGGAAAGGGGGCACAGGGACACGAGGATGAGGGGACAGGGACACAGGGGTGTCACACACGGGGGTCACACACGGCGGGGGTCACACACGGGTGTCGCTGCCAGTGCCACTCTCAGTGTCCCCTCAGCGCAGGCCTGGCCCCTCCCAGGGTCCCCCCCTGCCTTCCCCACGGTGGGGACACCCCGGGAGGGGGTGGCCAGCGGTGGCCGTGGGGCAGGGCCACCCCCAGGGCACGTCCCTCACGGCCCGAGGCCACTCGAGGCTCGTGGCCACCGGCCATGGCCACACGGGGCCACTGTGACTCAGCCGGGACGGGCAGAGCTTTGGGGGGACACAGGGACTCGAAACTCACGGGACCCCCCAACCCCCCTGGTCCCTGGGGGTCGCCACCACCCCTCCCTGGGCCCCCCTGCCCCCCATCCCAGGGGAGATGTTTTGGGGTCCCCAAGTTGGGGGGTGGCACCAAGAGGCCAAATTTTCCTGAAAAGTCCCATTTTTATTAAAACCCCCAGAGTCACGGCAGGGGGAACACCCCCAAATCCTGGGGGGGGCCAGGGGGGACCCAAGGGTCTCACCCCCCACCCCCCCCCACATCGCATGGGGGGCAGCACCCCAAAACCCCCCTGTAAGGTTTGGGACCCCCGGCACCCCCAGGGGGGTTCTGGGGTGCCAGGGGGCGTCTGGGGCTGTCTCAGCTCTCGAACCATTTGCCCTTCCGAGCCGTGGGGGGGCTGCTCCCCAAAATCTTCCTCTTGTACCTCTCCACCAGCTCCTGGAACCGCGCCTCGGCCCCCCCGGAGCCCCCCCGGCGCCGCCGCTGGCTCTGGGGAACAGAGGGGTCAGAGAGCCCCAAAATCCCCCAGTGTGGGGAACAGAGGGGTCAGAGAGCCCCAAAATCCCCCAGTGTGGGGAACAGAGGGGTCAGAGAGACCCAAAATCCCCCAGTGTGGGGAACAGAGGGGTCAGAGAGACCCAAAATCCCCCAGTGTGGGGGTAAAACTGGGGGGGCAACCGAACATTGGGGGTGCCCAAACCGAAGGTCTGACCCCAACCCCAAATCCCAAACCCCAAACCCCAAATCCCAAACCCCAAACCCCAAATCCCCAGTCCCAAATCCCCAACCCCAAATCCCGAATCCCAAACCCCAAATCCCGAATCCCAAACCCCAAATCCCCAATCCCAAATCCCCAATCCCTACCTGGGGGGGGAGCACCCGGAGCTTCTCCCGCCGCCGAGAGGCCTTGGGGGCTTTGGGGGGCTTGGGGGGGGGCTGAGCCTTCCCCTTGTCCCGTTTCCTGTGGGAGAAAAAAGGGGGAATTTGGGGAGGGGGGACACCCTGGGGGGCCCCAAGGGAACAGAGACCCCCGGGGAGGGGAGAGAGAGGGAAAAGGGGGAGAAATGGGGGGACAGGAGGAAGGAAAAGGGTGGAAAGAGGGAAAGAGAGGAAAAGGGAAGGGACAAAGAGAGGGGGAAAAACTGAGGAGAAGTGGGGGGGGAAAAAAGGGAAAAGGAAAAAAAGGGAGAAGAAGGAAGGAGAAAGGGGGGAAAGGGACTAAAGGGGGATGAGGGCGGGGGCACAGGGCCCCCCTCACCTGATTTTGGGGCCTCGGTGCGAGGGCACTGCCAGCACCTTGGTGCGGGGGGCACCAGGAGCCCCCCTGTGTCCCGGGCCCTGCGTGCAGAACCCGGCCCAGGGGGTCCCGGGGGGGGTCCCGGGGGGGGCCTGGGGTCCCCCCGAGCCCGCGGGGGGGGCCGGGTGCCCCTGGGGGGGGTCTGGGTGTGCCTGGGGGGGCTCCGGGGGTGCCTGGGGGGGGTCCGAGGGTCCCGCCTTGGCCTTGGCTTTGGCTTTGGCCTGCAGGAAAGGGGGGGTCAGTGCTGGGGGGCAGTGCTGGGGGGTCCCCCCGGGGGGGGCAAAGGGGGGTTCAGGGGCTCCCCCCCCGTACCAGGCCCCGCTGGATCCGCTGCTCCCGCAGCCGCAGCTTCCGCCGGTCCTCGAGGGCAAACTCCACGATGGGGCGCTGGGGGGGCACGGTGGGCACCCCGAAACACCCCAAAAACGGGATGGGGGGCCCCAAATACCCAAAAAACCAAGGGGACACCCCAAAACCCCCCCGACACCATGAAATCTCATCAAGTACCCAGGGGTCACCCCAAAACCAAAAGGACGTTTCTGAAGCTCCCAAAACACCATGGGGCACACCCCAGCACCCCAAACTTACAGGAGGTACCCCAAAACCCCCCGAGCACTGGGGAGGGGCTCAAAACCCAGGTGGAGACCCCAAAACCCCGTGACACCCCAACACAACGAGGGCATCCCGAAATCCAGGGGAAACCCCAGAAACCTCCCCGTGAAACAGCTGAGGGTAACCCAGAACACCCCAAAAACTGCGGGGCACCCCAAAACACCCCGTGCACCCCACACTACCCAGTAGAGCCCCCCAGAACCCAGGGGGCACCCCAAAACCCCCAGGGAAGTCCCAGGAAATCCCAGGGGGAAGCCTGGAATGCTGGGGGCAGCTCGGGGCTCTGAAAACGGGGTCACCCGAAGTTTTTGGGGTGCCCCCACTGACCTTGTGGGCCCCGAAGAGCTCGGGGTTGTTGTTGAGGCGCCGCAGGGCCCCCAGGGCCTCCTCGTGCTCCCCGAACTCCACGAAGGCGAACCCCAAAGATTGGCCCTGGCCCCGCAGCTCCCGCATCACCCGGCACTGGGGGAGGGACGGGGTCACCCCAAAAACATCCCCTGGGTCACCCCAAAACCCAGCCAGGGCACCCCAAACCCCTCCACAGCTCCTGCAGCACCCGGCACTCCCAAAACCCCCCCGGACACCCCAAATTCTCCTGGAGTCATCCCGAAACTCCCCCTCCCCCTGCACCACCTGGCACCGGGATGGGGGGATGGGGTCACCCCAAAACCCCGACACCCCCGTGGAGAACCCCAACATCCCCCAGGGGACACAGGGGGGATCCCTCACCTCCCCTTGCACCCCAAACCCAGCCTGGGAGGGAACCCCAACTCCCCCGCACCCCCAAATCACCTCCACCCACCAGAGGGGAGGACACAGAGCCCTGGGGGACACAGGGGGACCAAAGGGACACAGGGGGGACACAGAGTGACACAGAGAGGACACAGAGTGACACGAAGTGACACGGGGGACCCCAGCACCCGCACCTCTGTGATTCGGGGCGCTGCGCCCCCCGGGGCCCGCAGGACCCCCCTGAGCAGGGCCCGGAGCCGGGCCGTGTCCAGCGCCTTGGGCAGGTTGTGCAGGCACAGCCGCGTCCGGGACACGCCGATGTTGGGGTCCTGCAGCCGCCGCCGCTTCAGCTCCTCGAACTGGGGGGGCACGGGGGGTCAGCACGGGGTGGGGGACACCCCAAAATCCCCCCCCCGGGCCCTTGGTGGGGGTCACACTCACCCGCGCCCGCTTGGCCATGTCCGAGTCACTGACACCCTCGGCAGCGCGGGAGCCCGGGCGGATGGCTGGGGATGGAATTGGGGAATTTGGGGAATTTAGGGGGGGGCCAGGGGGGTCAGGGGGCTTTCGGGGGAATGGGAGAGCCCGGACAGATGGCTGGGAGGGAATTGGGGAATTTGGGTGGGTCAGGAGGAATGGGAAAGCCCAGATGGATGGCTGGGATGGGAATTGGATAATTTTGGGAATTTGGGGGGTTTGGGGGAATGGGAGAGCCCAGGTGGATAGCTGGGAATGGGAACTGGGGGTCGGGGAGTTTGGGGGGGCTCGGGGGGTCAGGGGGTTTGGGAAGGATTTGAGAAGCACTGGGGGGGGCAGAGGGAATGAGGGGTTGGGAGATTTGGGGGTCAAAGGAAAAGAGGGGCTGGGGGTCCAGGAGAACGGGGAGGTTTGTGGGGCTCAGGGAGGGAGGACTGGGGGCTCAGGGAAGGTTTGGGGTGCAGGGGGCACTGCCCCCCGGACTCACCGCCCTCCCGGGCCAGGTACAGGTTCCTGGTGCCGCTCCGGGGCCGCGCCCCCCCCGAGCCCTGCAGCCCCCGGGCCTGCTCCCGGCTCAGGGCGGGGTCCACGCGCAGCAGCCGCCCCCCTACACGGAGCCCCCCGCCCTGGGAGCAAAGGGGTCAGGCACCACAGCGTCCCCCAACGCCTCCCAAACCTCCTCAAAACCCCCCCAAAAACTCCCACCCTGCCAAAACCCCAAACACCTTCCAAGACCCCAAAACCCCGAAATCCTCCCAGGATTCCCCCAAACCCTGCCCAACCGCCCCCAACCCACCAAAACCCTGTCCCAAAACCCCCCAAACTCTCCCAAAAACTCCCCCCCTGCCAAAACCCCAAACCGCCCAAAACCTTCTGAGGCCCCAGAACCCTCTCGACCCCTCCCAGATCCTCTCGGCTGCCCCAACACCCCAAACTCCCCCAGGAGGAGCCACCCCAGGAGCCCTGGTGGCCCTGGGGGGGTCCCTGGTGTCCCCCCTCACCTCAGACCCCTCCTGAGCAGCCTCAATGCATTTCTGGGCCCCCTCGGGGGTCTCGAACTGGGCGAAGGCAGAGCCTGGGGGGGCCGGGGGGGGTCAGAGGGGAGCCCCCACAGGAGAGAGAACCCTCCCAGTGTGGGAGCCGACCCCCAAATGTGGGACACCCCAAAACCTGAGACCTCCCCACTCTGGGTCCCAGAGCCCCCCCGATATCCCAGCACCCTCTGGGACCCCTCCCAAAGACCCCCCCAGGTGTCCCCCCCACTCTGTGGGGTGCAGCTCCCACCCGGATCCCCCCGGCTCCCTCCCCCCTTTTTGGGGCTGCTGGTGTGGGGGAGCAGCACCTGATGCCCCCCAGCCCCCCCCATTCCCTGTCCCACCTTTGGGGGTCCCGGTGTGGGGGTGCAGCACCAGACAGACGTAGGAGACCCCCCCGAACTGGGCCAGGGTCTCCTCCAGCTCCTCCTCCTCGGTGTCGAACGAGAGGTTCCTGGGGGGGCCGGGGGGTCAGAGGGGGTCCCGGGGGTGCCCCCAGGGCAGGGTTGGGGTCCCCCAGCCCCCCACTCACCGGATGAACACCGTCCTGCCCTCGCCCACGTCCGACGGGCGCTGCCGGCGCTTCCGGGGGGGCTCCTCTGCAACGGGGGGGGTTTGGGGTACCTGGGAGCCCACAGGGAACCCCCAGAAACACCCCCAGACCCCAGAGAAACACCCCCAGACCCCAGAAACACCCCCAG